TCGCATTTCATTGATAATTATAGTGTTAATAAACGATTATTATTTTTGTATCATATGTACTGCTGGTGGGTGAGTGTGTATTGTGATACGTAAATTATTTAAGTAATTAACATATTTAAATATTTATAGGTGTATATATTATTTATATTCATATTTTTTATCTTAATATTATTTTTATAGTTATTTAATAAGTATTATTTTATTTGAATAATTATGATGAATATTTCCCTAAATGATATTTACTTAGGCTCTAGCTCTTTCGAGACTTGTTCCTCGGGTACTTCAGATGACGGAGATGACAGTTTCCACAGTACTCTCTCTCTCAATTCTTCCTTAGATTCTTGCTTCTTAGATTGTGCTAATAATTTCAATGTAATTCACATAAATGCGCAGAGCATTCCCGCTCACTATCCTGATATGCTGACAAGCTTAAACCACAAAAACATTCATGCAATTCTGGTCTCTGAAACTTGGCTAAAACCGTGTTTACCATCCATTTCTTATGCAATTCCAGGTTTCCATTTATTGCGAAATGACCGACCCGTCAAAACTGGTGGTGGGGTTGCCATGTATCTTCGTAAAGATATTCGTTACTCTATAGCCAGCATATCGTCCACCACAATTGTTGATAGTGCAGCAGAACATCTTTTCATTGAAGTCACACTTTCTTCCTTCAAAGTGCTCTTAGGCGTCGTTTATAGTCCCTCTAGCTCTGTTAATTATTCTTCTGCCTTTGAAAAAACTTTGGAAGAATTGGTTCCGACATGTAAACATGTTATCATTATGGGTGACTTCAATACGTGTCTTCTCAAAAATGATGTCCGTTCAAAAAAATTGAAGTCCGTAGTTGACTCATGTAATCTTCACATCTTGCCTTCTAATCCTACCCATTTCTTCCCTAATAGTGCCCCTTCTCTTCTAGATTTAAAAATCGTTTCCTCTCCAGAATACATATACAAACACGGGCAGTATACTGCCGATGCTTTTTCTTACCACGATTTGCTGTTTTTGTCATATAAATTACGATCACCAAAAGTCAAGTCCCGTGTTCTTCTGCTGCGTAATTTTGCTAGAATGGACGTCGACCGTCTTAAAAATGATGCTGCCAGTATAAACTGGTCGTTAATTGATGAGACAACAGATGTTGACGAACAAGTGCGTCTTTTAAATGCCTTTATAATGCAACTTTATGACAAGCATGCACCTTTACGACCAATCAAACTTAAGTATCCGCCTGCTCCTTGGCTCACAAAAGAGATTAAAGATTTAATGACAAGAAGAAACCTAGCCAAAGCCAAATTTAAAAAGAACCCCTGTAATATAAATCATGAGAAATACAGGATACTTAGGAATCGCTGCAACACGATGTGTAGAGATGCGCAACGACGTCACATTCACAAGACAATTGAGGAATCTGATCCCAATAGGGTTTGGAAATTTCTTAAAAGTTTGGGAATTGGCAAAAAGCGAAATGACTCCCTTCCTCCTGATTTAAACTTTGAAATGCTTAATCAATACTTTTCCTCAAGTTCTAGTTACGTTAACAGTTGTAAATCTAGGACACTAAATCACCTTCATTCTTTGCCAACTCCCGATTTCCCCGAATTCGTTTTATGTCAGGTTGCTGATTGTGACGTGAAAAAGAATATCACAGCTGTAACTTCTAATGCAATTGGTAATGATAATGTCAGCCGAAACATGATTCTCCCGCTCTTAGATCTATTAACTCCCATCATAACTAAAATTTTCAACAATTCTATAAATACAGGAACTTTTCCTACTCTATGGAAAGATGCTCAAATTATTCCACTACCCAAGAAATCAAATCCCAAGTCCTTCTGTGATTATCGTCCTATTTCCATATTACCTTTTCTTTCTAAAATTCTTGAGCGTCTTGTCCAACAGCAACTTTATCTATTTCTTAATCAAAATAACCTCTTAAATACATTCCAATCAGGCTTTCGTCCTGGCCATAGCACGGTCACTGCTTTGGTTAAAATCACAGACGACATTCGGGCAGGAATGGAGAATCGGCAAGTTACTATTCTTACTCTTCTTGATTTCAGCAACGCCTTCAACACAGTCGATTTTGATATACTTCTAGCTGTGCTCCGTTCTATTAACATATCTCCAGCGGCAACTGACTGGTTTCGTAGTTACTTGTTTGGACGCCGTCAATGCATCCGTATTGAAGACACTTATTCCTCGTGGTGTTCTCTGGATGCAGGCGTACCACAAGGTGGCGTGTAGTCTCCTCTCCTCTTTTCAATTTTCATACGCTCTATCACTTCAGGAATAACTTCTCTCTACCATCTTTATGCAGACGATCTCCAAATATATTCTCAAACAAGTATCAATAATCTTCCATCTGCCGTGCTATCCACAAATCGTGATCTCGCTATTATTTCAGAATTTTGCACATCTTATGGAATTAAGGTTAACCCTAGTAAAACGCAGGTAATAGTAATAGGTAGCAACAAACTACTACAAAAAATTACTTGGCATACGCTGCCTTTCGTTTGTTTTGAAAATTCTGCTATTCCTTACAGTAAGGTTGTAAAAAACCTAGGGGTTCTAATTGACAGTACAATGTCTTGGGCACCACAAATTGAACAAATAAGTAAGAAAATGTTTGCAGCTTGTGGAAGTCTCAAAAGACTTCGAAATTTCTTACCCATTTCTACCAAAATTGCGTTAGCACATTCCATTTTGTTGCCTATTTTAGACTATGCTGATATATGCTACACTGATATTACCATGGAGCAATTAAACAAGCTTGAGCGTCTTCAAAATCTTTCCATTCGGTTCATATTTGGCTTACGCAAATATGACCATGTATCCCAATTTCGAAAACAACTCAAGTGGCTCCCAATTCACCTTCGCCGGAATGTTCATTTACTTTCTTTACTTTTTTGTGTTCTGTTTGATCCGAAATCTCCAAGGTACCTTAAGGAACAATTTCACTATCGATATGAATTTCATGATCGTAGTTTGCGTTCAGTGTATAGCTTGACTTTGAACACTCCTTACAGCGTAACTTCTTTCTATAATAAGTCATTTACTTCACAAGCAACCAGACTCTGGAATTCATTACCACTTAACATCCAGCAAGCGCAATCTTTACAGACTTTTAAAAAACAACTGAAGGAGTATTATTTGAATTTCCCGTCATAATTATAAATTATATGCATTTCCTCTTTTTATAAATACTTGTTTTTTTTTTCTTTTTGCTTAATTTTCTCTGCATATATATATATATATATATATATATATATATATATATATATATATGTGTGTATGTATGTGTGTTTATCTATATGTATGTATATATTTATTTATTTATGTTTATTAATTGTATAATATTATATATTATATAATTCATATATTTATATAAATCGTGTTTAATTATAAGTTTTTGTCCTCAGTTTCATTTTATATTGCACGTTGCACCTATCCGTCAAAATATATTACATTGTTCCCTATTACGTTCGGTTTGTCAGGTAGAAATCGCTTAAAGCGATATGACCACCGTTTGTAGTTTTTAAGTTATTCCGTAATTGTAACACTTTGTATAAATGCAATAAAGAGTTATCTATCTATCTATCTATATTTGGTCGTTGAAATCGTAATATTCGGATTTCAGTGTCAGTGGCTGCCTATTTTTTGATTGGTTGATTAAGCCGGACTTGTTTTCACAACTCTGCTTTTGCGTTTATGTTATATAGTAGATAACATGCTGTGAAAGGATTACAATAATCGATCGTGTACGTGTTTCTGAAAAAATCGCGCACATAATGCCAACGGAAACAAACCGTTCTTTTTCAAGCTCGGTTAAAACAGGCCACAAATGACAACATACATAGTTTTTTACAGACTGTTAATATACCGTTTTCATTGTCAAGATAGCCTCTAAATAATATTTAATATATGAAAATTTATAAATACTAAAATTAATGCATGAACCACATTATTTGTACAACAAGAAATCCACTTTGACGCAAATGAAAGGAATATTTGTTACATAGCCGAAAATTACGAAACTGTTACTAATTCCAATCTACAAATATTACGTACAGTTTGGCTATAAGCCAACTGAAGACTTAAAATTAATTTATAAAATTAGTGAAAGTAAATTGAGTATAACTTAGAATCGTTTTGATTCTATTCTAGTATAATTTACAATAAAATATGTATTTGTGTAATTGATAAACGACATATGTAAGTCTCTACCGCGCCGTAGCTAAGTCACTGGCTCCCGTCCATTGTGTACAAATAAAATGAAGTCCCTACTTCAGAAGCTATTATTTAATACCAGTGTATTCATTTTTAGTTCTTTGAAGTCAATATTAATTTTTTTTCGTACTTTTTATCTTATTTTTAGTAGATTAAGGAATATGACGTAGGTAGGAGTATAGCGAGAATGTAGTATATTAAGATACTTTAAATATTTCATCTCCTGTTTATTCCCCATTAGAAGTAAGAACTTTTCCCGTAAATATATATGAAACCACCTATGATGTATAATTGTTGAATTAAAAAGAATCACTAGAATTGATTCTCAATTGATGAATATATCGCTTATGTAACTTACATGTGAAAACATACAATCGAATATTGCTTTGATTGTCGAATTGATGACATATTTTATTTTTTAATTTGTTATTCTCTACTTAAAAGTCATTAAATGTTGTGGTATTCAACACCTTTTGATGTAAATGTTACTTAAAATACTGTTTATGCACAAAATGTTTATTATATTGTTATAATATTATTGTTACAATGTTTATAAATGTTATATGTTTATAAATGTTATGTATATGAGCACACACGAGACAATGTTGGCGTCCGTACATGTACTGACTTAAATAAAAACTTTAAAGTAAAATGCCTACGGGTACATAATGTGTTCGGTGTAAACTGAACATCTTCCCGCACAACAAGGGAGATAAACTAAAAATACATAAAAAAGTAAAATTATTTGAGAAAAGTTAGGTATAAAATTATTCTTCATCGCGTTTAAGAATGAGAGTTCGCAATATAGGAGATGTTGCTCGGTCTTGAGTGTTGAACGCGTTCGGGACCGCGGGTGAGGACGCACGCTCGGTGCTGGCGGCGACGGGTTGCGTTCTCGGGGCGGGCACTGCAGCGGCGCGCTGCGCTCTCGGGGCGGCCAGCGCAGCCACAGGAGCGGAGCTTAGACCTTCCGTGGTTATGTTATCGAGGCTAATACTTGAAGTGATAGCCGTGTTTCTTCTTTGTCGTAGTCGTTTGCAGGCAAGGCATATAGCAGCTATCACAGCCACTCCCACCAGGATGTAAATCGCGACATAATGATGTATGTCATGGAATGTTATGTTTTCAGCGATCACATTTTGGGATTTTAGGTGTTTGATGTTTTCGTTCAAGGTGGTTAGGTTGGCTTGGAAACTGTCAGCGTCTTTTTCCAACTCTCCTGTTCTGGGATAGAGAGCTTGATAATTTGGTTAATAGCAGCGATTTCAGGCGTATAAATTTCAGGTCCGGTTTTCAATTCACTCGTAAATATTTTGTGCGTATAGATTGATAATTCTTCACTTTTGATTGAGCAACCGGGTTCCAGCGCAATGACCCCGGCGTCTCTCAGCCGTTCCACGGTAACTTGATCACCGCAAAAAATTCTTACGTTGCATTTGTCGCACGTTGTAAATAAGTAATTGTTCGCTTTATTTAATTGAATAAACATGTTACTGCACCCGGCGATGTTTATTTGGCACTGATTTGTGTAATTATTCTTCAAACACAGATCTTCATCTGAATTTCTTTGGTATATGGGGTGTTTGAGGTGGCATAAATGTGCTGAAAAATCGTACATAATACACTCTTGTAAATCGATAGATGTCATTGGGATGTAGATATCCTTTTCTAAATTAATTGCAATGTAATCTGCAATCGGTTTAATGTTCACAAAATTGTTGGTCCGTTTATGAGGAATCGGTATAACTCTGTATAGGTTGTAATTATCTCGGCTGACCAATGGTAATCTGATTTCAAAAATCAAGTACTTATTAGTCATCTTTGTTTTCACTTGAAGAAACTGATATATTTTTTGAAAATCTGATTGTATGTTTGATATAGGTAGAGTCAAGTCTTTAGGTATTTGTCCAGATATTGTGTTCAGTTCATTTCTCAACTGAGTAGGGCTTATGAGATGAACATCGAACCTTCCATGATATATATCGGTGATAGCGTCTGTCATCATGTTTTGTATGCTTTTCAAGTTCAGCAGTAAATTGTTCGCTATGACAGACATAGCCAAAAATTGGTTGATGTTATAAAGTTTTTCCAATTCTGTTTTTACTTTGTTTATGTTGCTGTCTAAAGCACTAATCTGTTTGTTGATAATCTTGTGTTGTTTTCTCATAACTTCTTCCATTCTTTTCATCATGTTGTATTCCGCTTCGATAATAGACGTTTGATTCTTGAACAGGGAAGCCAAATGATGTTCATTCTGTCTGACGAGTGTGATATCTCGCTCATACTTTTCTGCGAAATGGTCGTCGAGTACTCCGAAGAGACTATTCGCGATATACCCGACACCATTGATAAGCCCTCGTTTCTGTCTGTCGTGCTCGGTTTGTTTACCTAGCAACATGCGGTTGTAGTACTCGAGTTCACTGGTACTATGACGTAACTGCAATAGCATCGCATCACAATGACCGTCACCCTTCATTGTTTTACATATGTTTTCCATGTGTTTTTGATATTTGTCAAGTGCTTCGGAGCCTTCCCAAAATGGTTGCATGTTGTAGTAAATTATGAGCTTCCAGTTGTCTTGAATAAGTTGGATGTTGGAAATAGCGTCGAAATACAAAGATTGATTAAGTTGCTGAATAGTATAAGCACCCTGCGTAGGTATGATTATACTCAAGAAAAATAGCAATGCAGCACAAATTGACAGCAGACTTGTTTTAGCTGTTATCTGGTGTTTTCTGAGTTCAGGTTCCTGGTTTCCTCGCAGTGGCAGTATGGATAATTTGGTAACTGGCCGTTTTAAAATTCCGTTTTTTGTTTTCAAGGAGACAACTCGAACGAAACCATCTTTTCCTGGGTGTAAATGTATAACTCGACCTATCAACCATTTTCCAGCAGGTAAGTTATCTTCTTGAATTGTCACCAATTGACCGACTTGAATGTTAGATGTCGACTGCTTCCATTTGTTTCGAACGGTAAGTTGTGTAATGTATTCCGATTTCCAGCGCTTCCAGATATCAGCCATTAGTTTTTCTGTTAAGTTCCATCTTGTTCGCGCGTCGTGTTCTGTTTCCAGTATGGTTACATCAGCTGTTCCAGTTAAGAAATGCGAAGGCGTTAAGAAGTCCAGGTCCTCCACATCCTCAGTTAATGCACACAGCGGCCTAGTATTAAGGCACGCTTCTAGCTGAGTAAGTATCGTTGAGTACTCTTCGAATGTTAATTTTTGCTCTCCGATAACACGTTTGATGTGATATTTCAGGCTCTTGACCGCAGCCTCCAAGAGTCCTCCCGCTGATGGCCAAGAAGGAGCGTTGAAGTGGAATTCGATCTCCGTTTTCGTAAGTTCAGTTAAGAATTCTGGATCAGAAATATTTTCTTTAAGCTGCTTTATGTTTTGTTCTAGAACACGGCTAGCACCGACGAAGTTAGTGCCGTTGTCGCAATATATGTGACGCGGCGCGCCTCGACGAGCTGCCATACGACGCAGTGCGGCCAAAAATGCTGACGACGTGAGGTCGGACACGAGTTCGAGGTGCACGGCCTTTGTTGCCATGCACACGAATACAGCCACATAACCCTTGTTTGTTTTTATGCCTCGACCCTTGCTTGCCTTGACGTCCACGTAACCCGTGTAGTCAACTCCTGTATGATAAAAAGGACGGGAAGGGTTTGTCCTGGCTTCAGGCAAATCACCCATGATCTGGGGTTGTATGCTGGGAGCGTGACGTCGACAGGTTATAAAGGTTCTTATTAACCTTTTAATTGTTCGATTTCCGCCAACAATCCAGTACTTTTGTCGAATGAACGCTGACGTCAATCGCACGCCGCCATGAAATGTGATCTTATGCGCGCTATCAATCAGTAATTGTATAAAACGGCTTCTGTTCGGCAAAATTATTGGATGTTTCATATTATATGTGATATTTGGGAGTTCTAATCTGCCATCTACTCTTAAGATGCCATTTTTATCTATGAACGGATTCAACTTTGATAATGGGCTCTTTTTCGGTACTTGTTTATTTTGCGTAATGTTATTGATATCGTCTTTAAATTCGGCTGATTGCACATGTTTTATTAATAAATTAGTAGCTGTTTGTAACTCTGATATTGTTAGGTAGGGCTGCCTCTGTTTAGTTTTATCTTTTTTGACTCGTAGAATCCATGCTAATATTTTTACTAAGCGTGTAAATGAGCTTTGTTTTTCTATAAGTTGCGGTAAAATGTAGCTTTTTTCTTCTTCTTTTGCTTTCTGAGGTACTAAAACTTGCTTTTCCTCTTCGTTGGTTGTATACATAGGGTTGTTTTCTACATCTTGTTTATATGTTAGTAGCCAAGAGGGCCCTTGGCACCAAAGCGGGTGGTCTTTTAGTTGTCCGGCTGTTAAGCCCCTGCTGGCGCAATCTGCTGGATTTTCCTCCGACTTCACATAGCGCCAGCAGGCGGGGGGCATATTTGTGATCACTTGTTTGACCCTGTTCGCCACGAAAGGCTTCCATCGTGCAGCGTCTCCGTGCAACCAGCCTAGAACAGCGGTGGAGTCACACCAACCAAAGATCTGTATGTTGTACGTACTTAGGCAGTTGACAACCTTGTTCATCAATTTTGATAATAAAACTGCGGCATTTAATTCGAGCCTTGGTATAGTGATAGGCTTTTTGATGGGTACTAGTCGGGTTTTGGCGGCAACTAACACCACCATTGAATGATGATTTTTGCTTGTTCTGCAATATATGGCGCAGCCGAATGCTCTCTCCGACGAATCGCAGAAACCATGCAATTCGACTAAGCTATTTTCTTTTGTTCCCAACCATCTAGGTATTTGTAGTTGATCAATCATTTTGATGCCATGTTTCATGTTTATCCATTCTACTTGGATTTCTTCGGGTAGTTCATCATCCCACTGAAGATTCAGCTGCCATACTTTTTGGAAGAGAAGTTTTAGTCTCAGTGTTATAGGAGCAATCAAGCCGATTGGATCGAACTGTTTCGAAATTTCTGACAAAAGACTTCGCTTTGTACATTTCTTCTCAGAGTCAGTAATTTTTGTTTGGAATGTGAAAATATCTTGTTTAGAAATCCAGCTGAGTCCAAGTGTTTTCGATGAATGTGCATGTTTAAAATTAAAATTTTTGTTGTCTTGGTTGTTGTTGATGTTAAGTAGTTCCTCTTTGTTGGAATTCCATTTTCTTAAGTTGAATCCTCCAGACTGAAGCAGGCGAATAAGCTCTTGTTGTAATTCCAATGCTGACGTCATAGAATGGGCTCCATACAGCAGGTCGTCCATGTACATTGCTTTTTCCAGGGCCTGGATTGCAGTGGTGGAGTAATCATTTCTTCGTTCATCGTTTGCTAATCGTTTAAGCGTCATCATGGCCAAAAATGGGGCAGCTTTTGTGCCATAGGTGACTGTGCATAGTTGTAAGTCTTGCAATGCAGAACTTGGACAATCTCTCCATATTATTTTTTGGAGAAGCTGGTCATCTTGATGAATCCATATTTGGCGAAACATCTTTTCAATGTCAGCCGTAAATACTATCTCAAACTGTCGCCACTTGATCAACAGTTCCTGAAGGTCTTGCTGTAAGTTTGGACCTGCATACATAACATCATTGAGACTCGAACCTGTTGAAGTCTTGCATGAGCCATTGAACACTACTCGCAAGGCCGTAGTTGTCGATTCCGGTCGTTGTACGCCGTGGTGATGTATATAACATTCGAGTCGACCCATTGAATCAGCGGGTTTCATATGTCCAAGCGCTAGGTACTCATGAATGAAGGCTTTGTAATTTTGCTCAAAACTGTTGTTTTTTCTAAACTTTCTTTCCATGCTTAAAAATTGCCTTATTTTTGGACGAACCCAATTGTTTTTCATATCCTGGTTTGAGTGGGAGTCTGACCTCGTATCTACCATCACTCAGTCGTTTTGTTGTTTCTTCATAGTATTGAATACATTGAAGGTCTTCTTCTGATAAGTCGAAATGCTCAGTAATGTCCTCTGTTTCCTAAAATTTTTCGATTTGTTCGATGTTGTTCAAAATTACATTGCATTGGTATATTTTTGTATTTCCACACAAAATCCAGCCGAGCCGAGTCTGTTGGGCAATCGGCACAGATTGATCTTCTTCTCTGCATATTCCAGGTAATATAATGTTCGAATATATGTCAGCACCCAGAAGAAGATCCACCGGTCTGCTGATGTTGAAGTCTGGGTCAGCTAGTTGTATATTGTTCAAGAATGACCACGAAGGTTTAGCAAATGTTGAATTTGGTAATTGTTTGATAAGATTTTGCATGATAAATACCGACGTGTCAAAAACGTAGTTGTCGTTCATTGATGAGCATGTTAAGTGAAGTACTCCTTTACAGCTATTAGGTTTAACACCAACCCCATAAATACTACCTTTGCAGTTTCGTCTAGGAAGTGCTAGTCGCTGGGCCGCATTCTCAGATATTATTGAGACTTGCGAACCCTGATCAATAAGTGTGCGCATTATTTTATAAGTACCATCTGCGGCCCGCACCTTGAGCATCGCTGTCGCTAGTAAAATTTCTGTCATATCGTTGTTTTGTTGAGTAACGTTGGAGTTACTTATGCTGACACGATTATTTTCCACTTCTGACGACATCGACGACTTGTTTTTCACATTCGCATTGTTTTGCGGCTTGTTTGAATATGACCGGAAGGCGTCATGTAACATAGTGTTATGATTTTCGTTGCATTCACGACACCGCTTCTCTGAAAGGCATGCTTTACCTTGATGATTAAAAAGACAGTTTTGGCAAACATTTAATTTTGTTACTGTTTTACGTCTTGTTTGTGGAGACATGTCCAAAAATTCTTGACAAAAGAATAGTCCATGATCCTTACTGCAGAGTGGGCATGTATATGTTATGAAATTCTTGTTTTTAACAGCTTGTAAGTTAGGTGACGCAGAACCCCTCGACGAGATGTTGGATGGATGCTGGGTTGTTACTCGATTACTGGCGTATGATTGTTTGAAATAATTCGATTTCGAAGTTTTCGGATACTGATTTTGATTACTTGGAATGTGTGATTTTTGATGAGTGTTGTCTTGTTTTCTACGTCCAGACTCCATCGACGTAAATGTTTGTTCCAAAAACTTGAGAAATTCTTGTAATTTTGGCAGTTCCCGGGGACATTTCAAAGATTGAACATAATCATGATGAATTTCGTTATCGAGTTTTTGAGTCAACAGGTAAACAATAATCGGATCCCAGGTGCTTATGTCAATTCCTAGGTTTTTTATTGCATTTAAGCATTCCTGCATAGTGTCGTGAATTTTCTTGATGTTGGTCACTGATGCTTGATGGGGAACTGGCAAACTCATTAATATGTTCATGTGAGAAGTGAATATAAGTTTCGGGTTATTGTATCGGTTGTTTAAAATGTCCCAACAGATAATATAATTACCCTAGCTGATCTGTAGGTGTTGTATCAGCCGCTCCGCCTCTCCCCTGACCTTGCTCTTTAAAAACTGCATTTTTTGAGCACTGGAAAGGGAGCGATTGTTATGAATGCATTCCGTAAATAGATCTTTGAACGGAACCCATTGGTGATAATTCCCGTTGAAGATAGGAATATCAAGCTTTGGTGTAAATTGTTCCTGATGAGCTGTTGACCATATTTTCTTGTTGATTGCCTTCTTTATGTCACTAAAGCTTCTCTCATGGACGGAAAATTCTTGTTCGTATGCTACGTTAGTACCCTCCAGCTCGCTGTCGAGCTCCCAATGAAGGGAGTCGATACGGTTCCATCTAACACTCAAGGTCTTCAGAGCATCTTCTAATTCCCAGTTATCGTTTAACAAATCCAAGTCAATGTTTGCTAACGTTCGCTTAAAAGCTCTAAAATTGCTACTTTGCTTACGCAACATCTCATCCAGCTTGCTGTTAATACTGCGGTCCACCTGTCGCGGTGTTGCTGACGACGTTGATGGCGGGGGGTTGAAATTTGATGGTTTTATGATCGGAGTAGAGGGTCTTGATTTGTCTTCAGTTGGTAAGAAACTTTGTATGTAGTCTTTTGTTTTTGTATAAAAATCAAGAACTTGTCCGTATTGATTCTGTACAATGTAGGAATGGTTTTCATCACACAACTCACGTACCTGGAGGTGAAGGTTGTGAAATTCCTGCCAGTAAGTATCCAAAGTCTCCAGTCGTTTTTTGATATGAGCAGCAGTCCTACGGTCGGCGCCGTCCTTTTTGAAGTTGCTGAGCAGCTGCTCCATACCAGAAACCATCTGTTGTTGATTTGCTTGTAAATCTTCCATGATGTTGTTGTTGATAGGTATTCGATAAGTGTTAAGTGAACTGATCGCTTCCTGTTTGCGGTCCGTGTGACGATGAACTTCCAGCGATATATTATGCGCCTTCTCAATCTGCCTGGTGAGACCCGCTTCTGGGAGGCCAGACAAACCGATTCGCTATCACCGAAAAAATCACAATCACACTTCGCTCTCGAAGGACCAAAAAGATGTTGTGGTATTCAACACCTTTTGATGTAAATGTTACTTAAAATACTGTTTATGCACA